CCTGACCCAGGGATCGAAGCTGGGTCTCCTATCTTGGCAGGCAGGTTCTTTACCACTGTGCCACCTGGGAAACCCTGCTCATTTCCTTATAGTTTGGTTTATTCCAGTTGCTCAGAGACTTGGCCCAATGAGGACATTCTCCCCAGGCACGGGGACCCTGGAAATCAATGGCAACAAATTCTTAGGAAGTTGGGAATAAGACAGGCCATCTATGCCCTGTACTTGAAGACCCCCATCAGGCCATGTTTACTACAGCACCAGGTGTAGGAAGAGCTATACATGTGAGCTCAACTGTGAGACTGAGGATGCTGGCTGTCCACTGTCCACTGCTGACTTGGGGAAACAGACAAACCCTGGGACAGGAACAAACTGCAGGAAAGATCCAAGAGAGACGGAGCTGCAAAAGCCACACAGTTATTTCGAGGGCTGGAAAGGGTCCAGTGAGAATAACCCAGAAGCAAAGGTGGTCTGACCTCACCTGAAAAGAACGGACAGACTGTGGGAAACTTTAACCTGAGCAGCAACTCAGACCTGCCCCATCTGCCCCTGTTGCCCTACTTACTCCAGCAGGGGCCTCAGGAAAACAGTCCTATTTGACATCGGTGCCTCCTCAGCCCCTGGTATAAGACACAGGCTGAGGTCACCTCCAGCTGAGGACCAGCGGGGGTGATCTTAGGCCTCCTGTGGCACTTACTGTTCACTAGTCCTCCAGAAATAAGCAACAGGTGTGGCTACTGCAGCTTCCTAGGTGGTGAGAGCAGTAAAGAACCCTTCTGCCAATGCAGGAGACCCAGCAAACACAGGTTTGATCCCTGGGTCGGGAAGATCCCCTGGAGGAGGGCATGGCAACCCACTCCAGTATTCTTGCCTGGAGAATCCTATGGACAGAGGAGCTGGGTGGGCTACAATCTGTAGGGTCACAGAGTCAGACACGACTTAGGGAGACTGAACACATTGCACCTGGAGTCAACATGCTCTATGACAACACACAGATGGTTAAAGGGGACAAAGGTATGGTCAGGAAGGCAGGAAGGTCCCTGCATGTTCTCCCCCACGAGATCACAAGGTTGGAATCTCTCTGATATTTGCACACATATTGGGTATTGAGATCCTGCAGGGTCAAACTCTGCAAACTTCTAATGGAGAGAGCATCCTCAGGTTAGAGAAATCAAATCAATGTGGAGGAGGAAAGAAGAGCTGGGAATCAGGAAGTCTCTCACCCCTTTCAGTTCAGTTCAGTTCAGTTGCTCAGTCATGTCTGACTCTTTGCAACCCCATGAATTGCAGCATGCCAGGCTTCCCTGTCCATAGCCAACTCCCAGAGCTTACTCAAACTCATGTCCATCGAGTTGGTGATGCCATCCAACTCTCTAATCCCCTGTCGTCCCATTCTCCTCCTGCCTTCAGTCTTTCCCAGCATCAGGGTCTTTTCTAAGTGAGTTGGCTCTTCCCATCAGGTAACCAAAGTATTGGAATTTCAGCTTCAGCATCAGTCCTTCCAATGAATATTCAGGACTGACTTCCTTTAGGATTCACTGGCTTGATCTCCTTGCAGTCCTAGGGAATCTCAAGAGTCTTCTCCATTACCGCAGTTCAAAAGCATCAATTCTTCAGCGATCAGCTTTCTTTATAATCAAAGTCTCACATCCATACATGACTACTGGAAAAGCCATAGCTTTGACTAGATGGATTTCGTTGGCAGAGTAATATCTCTGCTTTTTAATATGCTGTCTATATTTGTCATAGCTTTTCTTCCAAGGAGCAAGTGTCTTTTAATTTCATGGCTGCAGTCACCATCTGCAGTGATTTTCGAGCCCCCCGAAATAAAGTCTTTCACTGTTCCATTATTTCCCCATCTATTTGCCATGATGTGATGGGACTGAATGCCATGATCTTAATTTTCTGAATGTTGAGTTTTAAGCCAACATTTTCACTCTCCTCTTCCACTTTCATCAAGAGGCTTTTTAGTTCCTCTTCACTTTCTGCCATAAGGGTGGTGTCATCTGCATATCTAAGGTTATTGATATTTCTCCTGGCAATCTTGATTCCAGCTTGTGCTTCTTCCAGCCCAGCATTTCTCATGATGTACTTTTCATATAAAATAAGCCTTTATGTACTCTTTTCAGAATGGTAATTGTCAAACAAAATGAATTCCCTGGGGGCCTAAGGAACTAGGAGAAACCATTCAAGAACTGTGCATAATAGGTATTATATGCCCTGCCTCAGGTGCTTTAAACAGCCCCATGTGGCTGGGTAAAAAGCCAGGTGATGTCAGATGATGGTGGACAAGGAGACACATTCAAAGGTCATGATGTACAAGATTGGACAAAATAGCTCAGCATCAGATGGAGGTTCCATCTCTCCTGTAATGTACAAGTAGCAAGATTTGTTGAAAGAAACAAATGGAATACTAAAGCTGTGGGTTGAATTACTAATAAGTGAAACAACATGGCTGGGGAGACTGAGGTACCACTTGGGTTTTAAGACATTTGAGCAATCAATGCATGGAGCCTGTTGTGCCGTATGCCAGACCAGGGGCCCGTGCAGAGGCACCCGGCATTGTAAAGGTGCAGAAGTGGAGGGAAGCAGCCGCCCCCAACTCTCACTGGGGATCAGTGTGCTGTGGGCTGAGAACACAGAGCCCCGTGACACCTGGGATAGGCACAGCTCTGGGATTTGCCCTGGGACATCCTATAGGGATGGGTGCGCTACCTGACATGCTGGGTGAGGGGGAACCACTCAGTGACCCTATTGGGGTCCCCATTGGGGACTCAGTGGGTCTGTGGAGATGCATCATACCTGGAATTGGGTGCACCATTGAGCAAGGGGAGATGGTGGGGCCATTGTCGGGGATCTCTAGCCCCTAGTCCACCTCCTGTCACATGACACTGTTGTGTGCCCTGGGCAACATACGTGTTGTGCACAACTAGATCAAGGTCCTGAAGCTGACCCCCTCCCTTTCCAAAATGCTGGGAAGACGCACTCTGTTTCCCCCACTGCTGGAACCACTGCTCAGCTGCCATCTTTGTTCCTCCCGTTGGCCTGTGACAGAGGGTGAGACGGTTGGATGGCCTCATCAACTCAATGGACATGAGTGTGAGCAAAGTGTGAGAGACAGTGAAGAACAGGGAAGCCTGGTGTGCTGCAAAGAGTTGGAAACAGCTTAGCTCCTGAACTAAAATAGTGGCCTTCAGGACGTCATAGCTCACACAGAGGCCCTCGTTTCAGGCCAGGAACCCTTGAGCAATGCCAGAAAGCCTCAGTGTCTCTAATGAGAAGAACCGTCCTCCCCAACAGGATGGCCTTGGGCACCATCTCTTGCCTCACAGAAGGTATCATCCAGACAGGACTATAGATTCGCATCAATGAGTCTGCTGCTCTGTCATCTTTATTTAGTCATTGGAGGATGTAGCAAAAGTCCTTCGTGATCAGACCCCAGCCTAGAGGACTTCATGAACCAGCGGTTGGGATCATGGGAGCTCTTGCTGGAAGCACATTTTTACTATTTTGAGAATAACCTTGATCCAAATCTTCTCTTGCCTGGAGCTGTATTCCAATTATGAAATAAATATCGATCAGAAAAAAAATGCATGAGTTTTGTTTTTTTTTTTGTATTGGTATTAAACCCCAAAATTGTTTTATTCCACTTTCTTTTATTTTTATTATATTCCTGTTAGTTTTTCCATCTTTTCTTTCTTGTATCTTCCTTTCAAAATTTATTCTTAATATCTTTTCTAAACTCACCATCATCCTGGTATGTTTATTCCCCTGTTGTTGTTGGTCCTGAACTTACCATTATAATGAACAGTTTTTAAAATATATTTAGATAATAGTCACCTGATCTGGAAAGCCTTTCCTCTGATTTAACTACCATTTTTAAAAAATATTAAGATCCATTTTTGTTCTTTCCAAACTAGTGAAAGCTTTATAAACCATAAAGATGGACTGAAGGTGGATACTTTTTTCATAAGCACAATAGTTGTCCTGTTTCAGATGAAGAAGTAAGACCTTTTATTTGGAAAGTCTCTTAGGATAAACTTTCCTCACTGAAATTTTTCATCTTCTGTTTTACCTAAATTGAAACTTTCAAAATTGTTCTATTTTTTTCTGTTGATGGGTTATTTCCAAAAATGAACTAAAGGAAAATGGTATGTGAATATGAAAACATTTATTTTATATTATCTTCACTTTTGAGGTTGTGATGATAAGCTTCATCGCAAACATTTTATTTATTACCAAAATAAGTACCATAAAGAAGCAGTTTCAGCATGTACACAAAAATAATAACCAAGGTGACATCAGAACATACTGAGTTTCACCAAAGCACAGAACATGTTGTGACTACATTGTTAATTTGGTGAACATTTCAACTGTAAACATAACTACATACCATATTCTAACAGAAATCTTGATGGGAGGCAGTATTTAATAGTCATCAGTACCCCAGTTTTGATCTTAATAGAACTGGCCCAAGTCCTGGCTTGGCCACTGTGGTTTCATTCAAGTTATTTTGTTAATACTTTTCTGGGCCTTTTTTAAGTGGCAGATACATGGAGATTTAGTCAAAGACTCTTGTAAAGACCAAAGGATCTTCTATACATAGAGTGTCTTAGTATCTGGTACACAGTGAGCATTCAACAAATGCTTGCTAATATTGTTACCAGGCCATTCAGATGTACTTGATCAAAATGAGTGGAAACTGTACAAATCACACACAAAAAAGGTTATTTCCTTTTAATACAAAATCAATAGCCCTACTACCATCTATACTCTGGGCAAGTAAAAATGGCTAGCCATTTATGTTCAGATGAAGTGGTACACTAAATTACAAAAGGCTTTGGATAAAATAATATTGGAAATGGTAGGTGTTGTGTGTGACACAGACTTTTATTTTAAAAGCAGAAAAAAGGTTTTAAAATGTGTGTCCATCAGGTCACTAGCAATGGCTTTCTTTTTAGTAGATGTGGAGAATCAGTTACTGGAGTATTTTTTGATTGCCTATGATGCATCTGGCTGTGTTTACCAGCCACACAGAAGGAACTACCTCCTTTTTATGCTCTGAATACTTTCCTTTTCCACAGACATTCCCACTGGGCCTGGGAGATGGGCAGTTCTATGCATGGACAGATGGTTTGAGAAGAAAGGACTGGCATGACTATGGCAGCATGCAGAAAGAGGCTATGCGCTCAGGTATGGAGTTCAGTGTAAGCCAAGTGCTGCTTTGCTTTGTCACTTACAGCATCTCTCATTAGCCTTCCTACTGAGCACAGGAAGGTAGGTTTCATGGCACCGTTGGTGGTCAATGATGGGCAGAACAAAAACAATTTCAAATTTCAGAGAGGAAAAATGAAGAATTGCATTTACAATAGGAGATGAAAAAGAGATCATCTGAGTTTTAGAAATCTGTTGTGTTGTATACTTCTACATGTTTTTCAATCATTTCTGACGGTATCGTGAATTGCTCCGTGAGTCTTAACTTGGCACATACATACCTTGAGCTCGGTTCACTCATTAGGACTGTGGTGGATCTAACTGGTTGGGCCAAGGATGAAAGGAGGACCACAATTCTAAACATTGGCAGGTGGGTCAGAGGAGCCAAGGACCTGAGGTTGATGATATTTGGGCAAGGTAACAGGCAGTTCGGTGTAATTCAGTAGGTTCATCTATGCATAGCACAGTTCTAGTCTGGAGGTAGTGATAGAAGAAATACTTTACATCTTAGAAAAAGTAAATGGTAAAAAGAAGTCCTTCTATAGGGCTTAGGCTGTTGCCAACAAGAATTCAGAAGGGTGCAGAAGTAGTAACCCAGGGATAATAACATAATGACAGAAGTCCATATTGTACTGTTCAAAATAAGGAGCTCTGTTGCTGCGTTGTTGTTTGTTGGTCTTTTCTTTGTCATGGTGAAGATATCACAGAAATAGAGAAACTGCGGTTTGGTAAAAGCATCTGCTTAGCAGTGAAACTGTGCATCCCAGGTCAGATGATTAGCAGAATCCTGGGTAGCTGCAGGCTGAGTTTCTTCTGGCCAATCTTCCTCGTAACTCTCCTGCCAGGAAGACAGAGGTGAGGGCATTCACACAGTTATGAGGCTCTTCAGGGCTGCAGATGTTCTCAGCTCTGGGTCAGGTGTGACTGACCTAATGAGAGTCTTCCATTTTCTTCTTTCATGCCTTTTCTCTTACTAAGGCTGTCCCCTAACCCCTGCTTGTCCCAAGAACATTCCTTGTGTTCAGAGCTTCAGCCTCTTCCAAATTACATCGTCCCTCCAGCCTTGGCCAAGAGTCTACACAAGGTCATGAAAGTGAGCTCTTTACTAGTATTCTCACTTTCCCAGTTCTCTCATCTTCTCCCTCTGTTTGCTTGATCAGCCCTTCCTTCAGCCAGCCCTCTGTTCCTCTTTTTAACCACTGGGGAACTGTTCCCATAATTTAACAGGAAATTCATCATTATTATCATCATCATCTTAAAATGTACTGAATAGATGTTTTGTGCTGGGTGCTTTATATACGTATTTTGCTTAAACTTGAGAGTGACTCTGATAGGTATTGTAATCTCCAATTCCTTAAAAGAGAAAAGGAAATAAAAAGAACTGAGCTCTTAAGAACTCATGAAATATTATCCAAAGTCAAGTGGCTAACCAGTTGCAGAGTGAGATTAAGTCAGGTCTTCTTATAGTACATTACACCCCACTATCAGACACCCAGTAATAAAATCTGGGCAAAATGAAGTCATGACAGGGCACGTATGAGAGAGAGATACATCTGGGCTCATTCTAACTTTTTTGTGTAAGTGGTTAGTCAGTTCGTCTTTCTGCTATTCTACTTTGCAGAATTGTCATTAGGACTATATATATATATATATATATATATATATATAATTGGCCTATTATTTATACATGTTATAAACTCCACCAATGATAACTGTAATTACCCATCTAAATTATTTTCACTCAATTTGGTGTGCCTGTCTTATGTTTGTGCCAATAAATTTTGGATACAAAATGGAATACTTCACATTTATTTCTGTGTAATACTACCCTTTCTGCCTACTGGAAAACATACCTTTAATTTTTACATCCCTAGTTGGGGCAAGGGAAATTGACCTATAAAGAAAATTGGTACTGTAACAAGTTTCCTAAAGTACACATGTCTTGTGCAGTTAAAAAGCTTTTGAATAGTAGTATGTGTATGATTCACTGGAAGATATATTAAAAGCACAATAGACTGTAATTCATCATTTCTTAAATATTGTAAAATATAAATAAAAGGAGTCTGCACACACAGACATACATACAGGTACAAAGTCAAAATCAACACCTCCGTCCTTAATAAACAGGCCAAGTAGTATGATTATTAGTGCTCCAAACCTTGAAATCCATGACCCACTTACTTTCCTCTGTAATTTCTTATGACTAAACATAAGTTGTTACATTCTGCCTGTTTGGACCTTAAAAATGGAATCATAGTGTATGACTTTCTTCTTTCATTCAGAATTGTTTCTGAGACCCATCCATGTGCATGTGTGTAATTCTAGTTGATTCATTGTTACTGCTGTTTAATTTTCTGCAGCAGTTTCCACTTTGTAAACATTTTGAGAGTTCTTGGGTTTTGGTTATGTATGATATTGCTCTAAGTATCCTTGCTCATGGTTATGGGATAGAGGCAATATTTTCTTAGGGTACATATTTAATAGTAGAATTGCATGTCCAAGGAATACACATTTCAGTGTCACTATGTAGTACATGACAAACTGTTTCCCAAAGTTGATATACCTATTTTACTCCAGTAATAGATGGAATTCCCATTGCTCTGCATCCTGTCATCACTGAATATTGCCTCACTTTTCATCTTTTCTTATCATGGTGGTATGAAATAAGCACTCATTGTCACATGAATTTTCATTTTGCTAATTTTAATGTAGGTGATATCTTATTTATGCTTATCAATCATATATGCCTACTTTTGGGTAAAATTCCTATTCCTTCCTATTTCCAATTTTAAAACTTCTTTTTCTTATTGATCCACAAAGTAATCTTCATTTGTTTTGAATAATATCTTTTCCTGGTTGTATACAGTGAAAATATCTTATCCCAAATTTGTATATATACATATTTTTAATGTCTGTCTATATTGTTTAATGAATAAGAGTTCTTAATTTTGTTGTTATCAAATTTGAAAATCATTTTTAAAGGATAGGTTTAATTGATGTTCCATATTGTCTTTTTTAAGCTTGAGGGCTTTACCTTTTACATTTGGTCTTAAATGCAACTCATCTTCATTTTTATATCATGTGAGGTAGGGACCCAATATTTATTTAGTTTTTGCCTAGTTAGCTATCCAGCAACAACAACATTTTCTAGAAAATGTATTTTTCTCCACATAGATCATAAGTGTTGACTCTGTTATTAAAAGTTTCCCTATCTGTGTGTTATCTTTCTGGCTTCTCAGTTCTGTCCCATGAGTAACAATCTTTAAACTAATAACATAATATTTCGTGTATGAATCTGTTATGTCTGTTCAGTCGCTCAGTCATGTCTGACTCCACGGCCCCACGGACTGCAGTACACAAGGCTTCCCTGTCCATCACCAATTCCCAGAGCTTGCTCAGACCCATGTCCATTGAGTCAGTGATGCCATCCAACCATCTCATCCTCTGTCATCCATTTTTCCTTCTGCCTTCACTCTTTCCCAGCATCAGGGTCTTTTCTAGAGTCAGCTCTTCATATCAGGTGGCCAAAGCTGAATACTATATCTTTATAGTAGCTGTTGAAATCTGATAAAGTTCATCCTGCTTTCTTTTCTTTTCTTCCTTGAGAATGTGTTGCCATTCTTAACATAAAAATTTTCTTTAAAATTTTACTTTAAAATTTCTTTAACATTTTATTCAGCTTCTCAGACTTTATGTATACATACACAGATATACACGAAATATTGGAAGTTTAGAATTGTATTAAGTATATTGATAAATTTGGGAGTAATTTTCAATATTAAATAATTCATTCTGTGGTTTATATTTCTTGGTGCTTGTTTGTTGTCTTTATGGGTGTGTTTATAATTTGATTGTCAGATGTTTTCAATGGCTTTCCTAGAAAACTAACATTATATGGGTGTTGAGCATGTTACTAATCTTATCAAGATTCTGAACTATTTGTTGCTGGTATAGAGAAAGGTTAATTATTTTTTAGTATGGGCTCATTTTAGAAAACTTTCTAAACTCTTCTATGGATTATAATCATTTACCCATCAGTTATTTTGGATTCTCAATGTAGACATTCATAATATCTGTAAGTAGTGACAGTATGCAAAATGTTTTTCCATCCTGTACCTCATAATTTTAGTTATTTTTACTGTTTCTGCATTTGCCAGGAGCTCAAGTGTCATGTTGTCTAATGGGTATCAGTAGCTAGATTTGACTTGCTATGATTCTGACAATGGTAAATTAGATCCTTGTGTTAGGATTTTATCTGCTTGATGAAAATGTACTGTACCCTGTTAACTAAGTCATCTGGGTATGGCTTTCTGAGACTTTTACTTTTTTACATCTTAATGAATGTTGATTCTAATCAAAATGCTTTGTCCAGTTGTATCTACTGGATTAAAATGCATTTTTGTCTTTGTTTTTAAGTATGCTCTATCTGTTGATTTATTTCTTTTTATTTCTATCTATTGATTTCTGATAGAAAGCAAACTTTGAATTTATGGACTAAAGCTGTCTTTTTATTTATTACTAGATTTGGTTTGCTAATATTTTAGTTATTTTGTATCTCTATTTGTAAGTGAATATTGGCCATGAATTTTTCTTTCTCATAGAATCCTTGTCAAGTTTTGGTAACAATGTAATGATAGCTTTGTAAAACGACTTGAGTAATGTTTCTCATTTCACTATACTTTTTAGTTTATTGTGATATATTAGAATTTTTTATTTATTTATAGTTATGATACTCTTGTGAGTGAAGATCATTTGAACCTGAACTTTTCTTGGAGAAAAGATTTTTCATGGTGGGGTTAAAATGTTCATATTTATTGACACATTTATTCATAACATCCTCTTAGAGATTTTATAATGTCTGCCATACTTCATGTTGTTTTAACTTTCAAATATCATTTATTTGTGTTTCTGTCATTTTTCTTTATCTGTTACACTAGGAAATTGTCAATTTATTAATCATAAATAATGAAATAACAATA